TAATTTACTTCAACAGGCTCCAGAGTACATCCACTTTTCACATCAAGTTGATAGACATCATGATAAGCAATTGTCAAATTTCACACATAAATCGTGAGAAAATCGTACTTTTCTCGTACTTATGTCATAGGCTGTCAGGAGCGTGACTGACATCTTGATGATTAGGCTTTTCATACACGGGAATCAAGCCAGATTTTATAGTCCGTCTGTGCGGTACCTCTCAGCCGCAAATACAGCTGGGAGGACTTTGACTGGCCTTGACTGAAGGTTAACAAAAGGGGGAAGCGTCAAAATGAGAAGGCGACAGCAAAAAGCCACCTGATGGAGAAGAAGAGAAAGTGCTCTACTATGTAAACGATGAAGAAGAACCATTTTGAGAAAATGGAGCAGTCGAATGAAAATTGTAGAAGGAATAGGAATCACACGAAATTGGTAATCTAATAGTAAAGTTGTCAAAGTACAGGTAATAATGATAAGAAAATCCTATTCGACTAAGTAATTAGTTCTAATTGCCTGACTACAAACAGCCTTCCACCCGGATACGCTCTACAAAATGGAGGGATCCGTTGAGGATGAGTTTACAACCTCCAATCCTCCAGCTGACAACTGCCGACAGGCCTCGCCGCCTCACCGACCTTTGCTCTCATCTTTCTCATTCTATTTTCTTGATGGATTTTCCTTTCTTCGATTCTGCCGATAAATCAAATGTAACAACCTATAATGCATATTACTGGAAGTAGGATCACGCCGAGACAGGGCAATCTTACGACGACCGAACTGCAAAGATGGCCTTTACCATCTTAGAGTGATGTAAAGCCCTGTACTGAACCCAGTGATTCCAGGAACGTGCTGTACTTGAGAATTTCTTGACAACTTAATTGAGGGAAGGGTTGGATCTGCAATGTCCCTTACCAGAGGACCGAAAAGGTCTAACCCTAGCTACACGCTCATGCCCTCCACTCTCCTGTCCCACCCGCTCTTCACTTTGACAAAAAGACACGAAGAGGAAAGCAGTTGTTTTATCAGTTTCGCATACCCAACTCTTCAGATTACTGTTTTTAAACATCAAAGATGAGATGTACTGATAAAACGGGTCAGAAACCAACAGATAATTCTCCTCAAAGAAATATTCACTGTCTAGGAAGAATCACTGAACAACATGAAAATGAAGATTAATGAACAACACTACCCTGACAACAAATTACGATTCGTACCCATCACGTGAACTCGAAAAGATCCGAGTAGTATACAGCCCAGTTATGCTTTTGTTTTTGATTTGATTTTGGCTATCCGAACTTGTCTACCAATGGGTTACTGTAGTGAAGAAGAAGCTGAAAAACTGCTCTGTTTTCAAAATGAAAGCAGCGGCTCATAGCTACATGATGTCTTCCGAATCTCGATGTAAGGGAAAATGTTGGTGTAACTGTTCAGACGTTTTTGGAATGGGTTTCCAGCCTAATCAACTATCCTGCGCCAGTTATTAAAGGATGGAATTTTCGATCGGCCAGAGCGAGTAACGATCTGGAACCTGATGATTGGGCTAGACGTGTGGTGCTTCTAGCGCTGTATACCTTTCCCGGCCTCGTTAATAGCTCACTCATACCTCCTTTTTAATTTATAAATTTTTTATAAAAAGAGATTGGCCAAGGCCAAGACGAATTGATGTTAGCGATATTTCAAGGCAAGATTGATAAAGTATTTTTGGAAAAATGTTAAGGCTTGTCTAGGTACCGATAGAGAATAGGTGGAGTAGCACTGGGTGCTGCGCCACCACAGGCACACAGTACGGAGTGGAATCCCGGACTGATATTCGACAGGGTCAGCTAAGTCTTAAATACATTCGGGTTAACTGGTACAGGACACCTCTGTGAAGATAAATGCACTGCTCAGCATATGCTGCTGGAAAAAGTGGCCCGCTTGATATCGAAAGGTGTCTACGGGAAGCTACCAATCATACACTCGAGAAGAAAGAAAATCGGGTGAATTGCATGAGTCATCCTCAGTCCTATTTTTTGATGCTTTCATGAAGAGAATCGTACTAATCCTCGATGCAGTCAATGTTTTTCAGTGCTAAAAACCTCTGAAGAGTCACCTGTTATCTGCGTTACTCCTCATTCACTAATACTGCCAGGGAAAAACAAATGGATTTAGTTACCAGTTGCTGCCCTCACATCTTTTTTCGGCAAAAAATAGGCTAAAACAAGGAATGGTAGCTTGCAAGAAATAAGGCTGTTAGGCTAAATAAGATGAAGGTTCGTCGCGGTGCTTCAGGCAATGTATTTATAGAGTTCTTTTGTAGCCTGTCTGTGTTCTCTCACATCATCGCCCCTGAGATATTCTGATTCCTCCCAGTTAAGCGCGCTGATGTTATAGGAGAGGAAAAATTCCTCCTTCTGCACGAACTCGCGGATTCTGTGATACCCCTGTCCACGAAATATGGTCGCGAACGCGCCTTGAGAGTCGATGACGATCGTTCTTTATCTCTTTGAGGGTTAATTCCGTCTGAATCTGATCAGCTGTCATCTAAAGTTGAGTTTTTTGCGTCGCTACGTCCAATGTAATTTCCAGCGAAATACAAACAGCCGAAGCGCGGTCGGTTTTCTTGCAGTGGCGACAGCGTTTGATACACTTCGAACAAGAGGAATCCTTACTACACTGAATTTCCAGGCACATTCTACAGCGTTTTTGCTTTCCGAGATGATCTGATTGTGGGAATCATGCCTTTCCTTGTGTGCCACGACGATAATATAAAATTGTTTATTCCTGCATAAGATAGGAAGTTTAGAGAATCAACAAGTGAATTATTGTCATCTCTTCTTTCCAGGAATGCCAGACTGTCTCTGACTTACTAGTGTCGCTCTAGCTAGAGGCACTAAGGCGTAGGACACTGAGGCTGACGACGTATAAAGCTTGAACAGGTCAAATAAAGAAGCCGAAGGCTAGAAGACCGAGACAGAAGTAACTGGTCGCGCCTGTAGCGGCGAGGCTTAACTCCGATCGATCTGTAAGACGTGTCGAAGCTGCGTTGTTGCTAGTAACAGCGAGGCAGAAGACGGATTAGGCCTGTAATGGCAAGGCTTATTTGCCGACCAATCAGTACGACGTATTGGAGCTTCGGTGTAGATTCAAAGGAATGTAAACCTACCATCTACTTGCCTGGAAATATGAGAAAAGTCGCATTTTGTGGTCCTAATCAGACAGACAGGTACAGTTAGTACAATACATGTCTGACTTCGTGGGGTGTTACAAAATGCACACCGCTTAGTTATTTTGTCATGCCGGCTAACTCCTGCCTCGAATTTTCGCGGAGAGCAGTTTTTTATGAAAGTTTTTTGAGTCGTACGTAGACGGTGCTTAGTTCGGCATCTAGGGCCTCGATATCTTCAATGATAGGAACGTCTTCTAACGCATGATGATCCCGGAGGTCTTCGTTGACAATTTCCATGTATTCCACGTTTTCCATTATCTTTTCTTGTTCCTCCTAGTAGATGGCGTCGCCCTCCATGTGCACCTGTCTTTCATCGTGTGTTTTTGTGTGGTTTCTCGTGGTTTCTGGGTGTCGTTCTTGCTGTAAAGTTCCTTGTTATTCCCTGAATCACTATTCACTTGTTTGTTGAACATCTTCAGCTCACTGCAAATTTTCTCCAGCGTCATCTTCTTGGAAACGTTTCTGACAAAGGTATTCATCAGGATATCGTTTAACTTTCTGAGCAATTCCTCGATGGTTAGCTCGTGACCGCTTAGTATCCGTTCGATGTCATGTTGGTCCATTAAAAATTGGACCGTTTCTGCGGAATGTATTGTATAATACTGTGGGGTAGTCTGCCAATCATCGAAAATTACCGATCCGCTCGTTAGAAAACAATAATCGCCAGACTTACTATCAAGGAATAGTAAGTTCGCAAGAGATAAGCGTGTAAGGCTGGAAAAATGATAAAAGGTCGTCGCTGCGCATCAGGCAATGTATAATATTTATAGAGTTCTTACATAGCGTGCCTGCGTTCTATCATAACATCGCCCTTGAGTTATTCTGATTCCCCTAGATAAGCACGCTGATGTTATGGGAGAGAGAGAATTCCTCGTTCTGCACGAATGCCTGCATTCCGCGACACTAAATGATGGTACGATATTCCATGAGCGTTACCATCATAGTGTTACCAGGCCAGGTGAATGTGCTGTTTTGCAACTATCGTGATTGTTACTAAATGCAAGCAGCCTTTGAGGGCAGCCCGACGTTTCCGGCGAGGTGGCTTCAGTACATGTAATCATGGTCTTTTTTGTTCATCCAATTCTTTGCATGTCGTAGACAGGTCAGTCAGATTGCAAACTTTATCAAAAACGATAAAATCAGCAAGAGCTCAAGTCAAGAATAGGATCAATACAGATACAGTTACCTTAGAATAGCAGAACATTTGAAGGACAATGTTTGTCACATACATATGTATATTGAGCATGTCTCATTCCTGGAATGTATGTCCAGGAAAGGATATTCTAGAAATCCGGATGAATGAACGAAGGGGAATTTTCTAACTAACAAATACAGTTAAATAATTTGGAGAATAAAAACTCGAATTCGTGAAATAACCCTCAACTTTTTTACTAACTTAACTTATTACTTTACTTTAACTTATTCTTTACATTAGATAAGCTTGGGTTTAATCACTGATTAACAGTGAAGAGCAAGTAAACGGCACTTGAAAAGTAGGCATCTTCAGCAAGCAAAGTTATTTTTTGACGACTAGCCAAAATGCACGGCAGTTCACGATGGCAACTATACTCAGGCAGAATAAATTATATATCGGTTGTGGTGCTGCCTTGACAGAAATCGTTTCGGCGAAAGTATTCATCGAAATGAGAGTAACATATGTAAGTGGTAGGATCGTTTCCACGCAGATGAAAAACAAACAGAGATTCCGAGGTTATTCCACACAGAAATGAATAAAATTAAAATAAATACAATAAAGGGTTGCTCAGTGTGTGTGGATAGATTTTGGTAACAGCTAGCACGTTCCACACGACTCAGCACAATTCTTCTTCATGTAATCCATGAAGATTCCTTCGCAGAATCCGGCCATCTTCCAATGATGACAGAAGTGTTTTACATCTTTGCATGTTCGTGAAGTTGAAGGCTCGAGCGTCGAAAGTGATGTAGGCTTCGAGCTTGAAATTATGTAGTCATTTTCAGTCTAGTGTATAGAAGCTTTCATATCAGACTGATCAGTCTCTTGAAAGTTTGAATTGAAAACTAAGTAGAATATATTCCTGGTTAAACAAATAATCCGTTACCAATGCCAATGGTTGAACGACGAAAAGAGGATGGGTTAGAATGGCCACTGTGCTAAGAAACAATTGTGGGTGTTTTTTCACCATTGCTATGGTTAGTGGGCTTTGGGCACGTGTGCATAGCTTAACTATCGTATACTCAAGCCAAACGGGGGACGTGCGATTTGTGCGATTTTGGGCGCGCGCGGCAAATTGCGCGGCGATATTCGCGATGATTCAAACAACTACGGCGCCCTATTACTGGGGCACAAACTTGAGGTAGAGTACTTTAGTAGGTTCGGACAATCCTACTAACCTAGTTTACTTCGAATTTGGGCCCCAATGGTAAACGCTGTAATCGTCCAAATCGCACCGAATTTCGCCGCGCAACTCGCCGCGCGCACCCAGAATCGCACGGATCGCAACACACCCAAGCCAAACTACTAAAATATAGCTCAAATAATAAAATAATAACACAAAAGTAAACATAAATAGTAAAGATTAACTAGCTTATTTAATTCCGTCATGCACGTCGCGGTAGGAGCCGTCTGCGAAGCCGGTGTTAATTATAGGCGCGCATATGCGGTATAGGAGCGCGATTTTTTAAATATTCATCATTCTTCTCTTTTAATCATCTTTATTACCATATCCATAACTTCAGGTGTGTTCTTCACTTACTTAGTTTATCTGTTGTACATTCGACTTTGCTATTGTTGTGCAACTTTTAGTTTTTTAACTTGGTTACTTCCGTATTAGTGTTACTAGTTTATGCCTTTAATTTAGTAATTCCATTGCATTTTTTAACTCTTACCTTATTGTTTAATTATCTATTTGTTATAATATATTATATAACGTTCACAAGTTTTGTTCTCCCTTACCCTACTCAAGAACACGGAGGGAGGATATATCTTAAGTTTGACTTCCGTCTAGGGCACGTGCGAAACGGAAGTTGAACTACTTTGGGCCTGTCCCCCCTTATAATCTTAATACTTTGCCTTAATACTATCGGTTGTATTTATTTATTGTACAAAACCAAGACGAACTGACCAATATGTACCACAAAATAAGAAATCAGTAGATAATCACTATATGATCAGATGATAACGACGAAACACGTCGGCGACTGACTCATACATATGACTTAAAGGCACAGTTCACGTTAGAAATGGTTTCTGAGATTCTCCCTAGGATTGATCTGTGACCCCCGGAAGTAGCCTCAGAGATGCTATCAGATTAAAAAAATCAAAATTGGGCGTTATAAAGGCCAAAATTGTCATGGACGACGAACACAGCCAAGGCGGACGAGTTGTCAAGCTTCGTAGAAGCTGTACGGAATGTACCACTCGCACCGCGAGTAGGCAGCGTATATATTGCGGCCGCAGTACAATGGCGCGCACACTCGAGCAGCTCGTCGAAATACCCCTTCCATGCAGTTCTGTGGTGACGTTCTACTCCGACCCCTTATTTGATTCCTTTTACACAGCTTTGAATTTATCTACATTTCTCAAATTCTTTTCTCTAATTCATTCTTTCTAATTTCTCTTTTCACGTTTTCTTCGCCACTTTTGCACTACTTTAGACAATTATCAGATTGGTAAACCCAGCAATTAGCCCACCACCTCTGTACATTTCCTCTTGAGAGGATATGGGTGAATCCTAGCCGAAGTCACTACTGTAGGAATTGTACTGTACCACTGAGAAAGTGGTACTGCAGAGACTAACATCATGTGATCGCTGTTGACTCTCATTTCGACTATGCGGAGCGCTCTTTTCTCTTGTCTGACGCACGGTACTAGAAACAGTTGAATGTTGCGATCGTTGAAAACATTTCGTGCAGTGATTCTCCCCATACAACTCTAGCGATTCCTCTCCGACGCAAGCCTGCTATAGAAAATTCGCCGCATTGTTGTTGTTAAGTAGGGGCGTTTCGGTATGGGAACCTATCTGAATCACAACTTTCAGCATCTTATTCTGAGTCAGAATTTGGAGCTCATTACACAAGAAAAGAGGATTAAGCGCATTTTTACCATTTCATATTTTTGAGGCCTTTTCAGGGAATCCTCCCGTTGCGCATGCATTCTTTACTTCACTCATCGCGTAAATAAATCTAACCTTGGTGTTGGTGTAGATGTCCTCCAAAAAGTGATAAAAGGTGGATTCGTTGTCCATATAGGTAGAGCTGTGCCTGCTTTTGTAGCATCGGTTGGTGGTGGTTTGAAACAAAAGCCGCAGCTTTTTGCGCAGTACTTCTTCATGAAGCTCTCAGAGATCCTACAGTACCTATAACAAGTGAGACGTAAGGTAACAACAACAAACACAGCCTGTACAGTAAGGCGAAGATAATAAAGGGAAGAAAAGGAAGACGATTCTTCCTATTAGATTGATACTTCACTTTTGAGGGATATTTGCGAGGAGACGTTCAGAGCGATCACAGCTTGCACAGAACAAAGAACAAGCAAAAAAGGGATATTGTTACCGATCGATATGTATCTTCTGAATTACAGAATGTTGAAAGTGAGTATTAGGTTACGTACTAAAGTCGATTTCTAATTTTTCAGCTTCTGAATCACGATTCCAGGTGTCCGTAATTAAGAGTTGTCAAATGTCGAAAAGACATAGTGTTTTCCATTGATGACCAGGTGGTAACCTGCATAGGTGAAGGAAAGCGCTCTTGGTGGCCGTGTATATTTAGGGCGAGGGGCGCTCATGGGAGAAGAAGATTCGCCCTTCTCCGTTGCGATGGTCTCCTGTCACGTCTCCTCACAAGTTTTCCCTACAATTTATCGTAAAAAAGGTGATTATCTCTGGCCACTGACTTTTGAGAGACAAGAGCAAGGCAGTCGACTCTCAGGTCTTCGCAGTCGCCTGTAGAAGTGGTTGGTAATATAGGGAGAGGAGTTGGTCCTGGGCCTGAAATCCTTCTAGACAGCAAAGTCTTTATTTAAAACAGCGTCGTACTCTACTTGGCTTGTTCTCGCAGAAACCACATGAGATAGGACAGTGCGCCTTCATCCAGCCAGGATTTCGCATACACCAGCCTGAACTGAAGGTATTGTATGATGGCCTTAGTAGATTCGAGCTTAACCCAACCAAATATGTTCGGTCGAACTCACCATCATCTCGAAGAGCATCACAATCTCCTCGTAGATTCCTACACACCGAAGCAGGTAAGGTGATAGGTGTAAGTACAGGAGTAGTTGTAGTGGGTGGTGGGGTAGTGGTAACCACTGCCGGTGTTGTTGTCTTGATCTCTGGGGTGGTTACCGTAGTGGTTGCTGTAGCTGTCGTACTTTCAGGTTTAGCTCCATCTTTGAAAGAACCACAGGAATGTGAACATATTAGTAATGTGTGATTTCTAGTGTAATTCAAAACATCGTAGAACGGATTAGACCTTGTGGACATCCGTAGAGTTTATTCAATTTGTAAATATCCGACTTTGAGAAGCCGCCTCGCTGTCCTATCTGGGCCCCTTTCTGCTTCGGAACCATGGTGGGCTGGCCGTTGCGCGAAAATGCCTGTAATAGTTGTATACTGAGGTATCCAGAGCGAAGAAAAATAGGAACCTTTTACCTTGCTACCGTAATGCATTATGGACGAATAGTCATAGTTCACGCCCAGTGTCTGGATGGTCCCCTGTCCGTACTTTTCGAACTGTCCTGAATCAATCGTTCGTTTTCTCCAGACGTTCCATCAAAACTCACAACAGAGATTAATGTTTCTCTCGATATTTTCAGGGGCAGTTTTACATGAGAATCAAAGAGAATTGGTAAAATTCTCATAAGAGCTTTACAACCGTAGCTTCTTCGCCTAGACCCAACTTCAGAGAATATTTGCTCTTTGCTCTTGAAAAATCTCTTTGCTGACTAGGGTGCCATTTGCAACGAACCATTGTCTCCCTGCTAATATGAACCTGCTATTTTGAGGGGCCAACACCCTACTTGCCTCGGAATGGGAACTGACCAGGCAAGTATAAAAGGAGGGTAAATTCACTGATGTAACCTTAGACTGCCGCACTGTGCGGTTGCATATCTTTTTGTACCATTTCCCTCATTTCCGAACTGAATATACTAGTGCTGAGGAGGTGTAGTGGCAAGTGGCGCTTTATCACGAAGGCATGTTGGATCACGGATCGATGCTCGGCCAGGGCATACCTTGCAACCCACTCGGATCGTCTGATTGGTTCCAGGCTCAAAGTAGGAGGAGGAAGGCTTCGACTGAGCTGTACAGGCGCCAGTGACTCAAGTCATGGTGTAGACTACATACGTATTAAAAGGCCACTACGATTTTCTATGGAACTTGAATGGGAAGGTGATTCTTCATCCCAAAAAACCGGCCCGATAGCTTAAAGCTTCACACATTAGGACTTTTCGGAGTAACTCTATTCTACTCTACTCAGCAGGCAACACTTTTTTTGTCCCAAATTTTTTTGAAGTTCTAAAGATTTGATGGAGCTGTACTACCAATAAAGAAATCGGTCGCCTAGGGTCATGAAGAGGAACAGATATGTACAAATTATTACTATTCTGAACAAAAGTCTAATGAAAATATGCATCCAATAAGAAGTTTTGTCATCTTCGAGTAAGCTAATTTTCTGATGCTCACCTTGCATTCCAGGTTGTATGTTGTTCCACAGAATGGTGATGTAATCGTCCCGATCGGTTCGACTCTGCTCGTGAAAAAATCCGACGGCATGCATGAGTTCATGAATGATGATACCCTTCTGGATGCATCCTGCTCCAAGAGATAGAGACTGCTTACCACCTTAAAACTTGTATGGTTACTTCTGAATCACGTATATAGACAGGGGTGCCCAAAAAAAGAGACACTTTCACTGCTCGGCTTGTACCACCTATGTAATCAAACTTCATTAAATTCTGACTGAATATTACCACCAGCAAAATCAACAACACATTGTACTCGATCACGGAATTCTTCGATGGCCTTCCGCACGAACGAAATCCCGAGGTCTGCGGAATCCCAGTGCGCTTGGCGATCACGGTTGCTGGAACGGTCGGCTCTTCTCCGACGACACAGCACACCATTGCGGAGTTGTCGGGGTTACAGGAAGTCAGCGGTCTTCCAGATCCTAAGCGACGATGCCCAGGAATCTGTCCGTGAGCGACTCGATTGAGAAAGTTGCGTATCTGCTTGTTGCCGACCGGTATCCTATAAGTCGTCTTGAGCGCTTCCGCAATGGCAGACGGCTTCATATTTCGATGCCGATATAGGAACCACACGTGTTTCTGGTTCCTTTAATCAAGCAACATTCTTAGTACAATTTGCCCAATCACATTCTTCTGCTGCTTCAATCGGTGCGACGTATTCCGCCCTGGATTAGGCCCCATGAATAGTGTCTCTTTTTTTGGGCACCCTTGTACACATGTGTCCCTATACATTTACTTCTACTTCTTGTATACAGCTGCTTCAGTATCCAGCAGTAGAAGTATAATAGATGATAGACAGGCATGTCATATTATAGCGCTAGGTTCCTTAGAACTGCCTACTCGAAGAATGAAGAAGGCTTTAGTCTGTCTCAGGAAGCCCCAGAAAGAGCTATTTACTTGATCACAGAGATCCGCTATTCTATTCGAGCGAAATGTCTTTTATGAAATAACCGTATAAGCAATAAATAGAAAGAGGTTCTAAAGGAAAATGAAGATGGAAAGAAATGAGCTCAAAACCATAGCCGCATAGGTTTATGGGTAAGAAGCAAGTGATTCCTGACTCACCGATTTTTCCAACCATAGAGTAGCATCCTCTATCAGGAAAAATATAAACGTAATTAACGTCGTTACTCGTTTTCGGTACCCATTTGATGCACGTATGCGTAGAATACTCCTGCATCGATGCCGCTATCTGGGAACGACTGGAAAACTTCCTTGTAGTCACATCGGAAAGCGTATTGAAAGAGAGATTCGAAAGAAT